TGATTAACATTATTATTCATAAATTCCACATCAAGTTTTTGACACCGTTGTAAAGCAGAGTCAACTTTATAAATTTTACACAACTATATTTCTGTTGGTCACAAACCTTGGTAAAAACATGGGAAATAGTTCATGGACACAAAAATTAATTCAATTGCTTTTGAAAGGAGGCATCGTCTAGAAGATTCATTGAATGGAGACACATTTTGAAGAGGCACCAAGGAACCCCTTGGTTTTTGTTAAAGAAGACTTGAATCATCAAAGGAAGGGGCCAGCCAATCATCATACATCCATCCAAAGTAACTTCCGCCACCGACCATCTTTTCTTCTTATTTTGAGTTTTAGTTGGAATTGTGAGTGAAAGAAGAGAATTTAAAGGAACTTCAAGACATTTGGTGGAGAATATTTGAGATAAGTGTTTATCTTTTTTACTACATTTGGTTTTCATTTAGACTTCTTGCTTGTATGCATAATTTCTACTTTTAAACTCAAGTGTGGTTGTATTTTATCCATGAATTTTGAGTAGTTTTTTTTATTTTTTTTCTTAAAATTAATAAGTGATTAAGTATTGAAAGGAAGTTGTGTGACATGGATGATAATGTAGTTTACGTGGTTGAGTGTAATTAAATAAGAAAAAAAGTTTTGAAGGGTGTAAAATTAGAGGACTTTAGAGTGATAGACTAAAGCCCCTAATTTAATTTATAATTTTAGGTGTTGATATGAGATGTTAGCCCCCAGGTGGAGGGAGAAGAGGCAACTCTAAAGTGAGAGCTAGTTTCTTCCTTATTTAACCTGTCTTCACGACTATTTAAAATATAGATTAACTAATGATCCTTATAACATCTCTAGTAATGGTAAAGAATATTATTTCTCCTATTTGGCACAACACAATTAGAATACTTCCACAATAGAATTCCTATACTTGTTACTGATTCATGATAAGGAAAAAATATATTTTATTTATATTGCCTTCATCTTGCAAGTATTTAGTTAAGTTAATTAGTTGCTTACTTTATTTTTAATTAAAAAAATACAAAAAAATTGAATTTTCATTCCTGTTATGACATCTAGAGTTTATGTAAGAATACTTTGCTAAGAAAAATTTTGTTATCTAATTTTTTTTTTATTTTGAATGTTGCATATTGTTAGTTATCCCCGTGGGTTCGATATTTGGGGCTTAATCAAAAAGTCCTATATTACTTGATAACGATACGTATACTTGCGTAGTATCCCATATTAAATATTATAATTGTATTCTTATTTGCTTCATAGTAAAAAATTTACCCTAGCTTTCTCTTGGGATCAAGTTTTTGGCCTTGTTGTAAAGTGAGAATCATTATTAAGGAAATTAAGTATATAATCACATACATCACATTTTACATCTATCTAGAACATTGGAATCAACATTCCCGCCATCATCAACATTGTTAAAAATCCACATGATTTTGTGGGATTCACGGCACTTTCCACACAAGCATTGAGGTGGCATGTGGTCTGCTCCTTTATTCTGGACTGGTTCGATGGTTTGATTTAATTGATTTCGTTCATTTCGAATATAGGGAAATGAACAAAGTTCATTCATCATCCTCATGGGACAATGAACCAAAGACTGTTCATGATCAAATTCTAATTTCTCCCTCTATATTCCATGAGATCTCGTGGGGTTTGTTTTTAAAGCTCATCAAACCTAGAAAAACAAATCTATACAGTTGATCAAGTAAGGTGTAGTCGTTTCTTTCAAAAATTACCAAAATCGAAGAAAATTTTATGGTTTTTGATCCATACCTTGTTCTAAGAGGTGTGGCCTTGATTAGGCTTGATATACACGATTGCCTTGACCCCATGAAGCTTCTCCTTAGCTAAATTTGGATTGAAATTGGCTCTAACTATGAGCTAGGCCAAATTTTGGCTTAATTTAGTCTTAAAAAGTTTTGAGTGCGTGATAAGGCTTGACTTTGATTGAGATTGTCTTCATGAAGCTCGACGAAGCCTTTAGGATTTTTGGATTTGAGTTTGAACAAGGTTCATGTCAAGGCCAAATTTTGTCCTGGAATAGGATTAGGAAATTAGGGCTTCCAAGTGGGGTTAAGGGGTCGAAGAGATGGGTGATCAAATGCATATGTTTAGGAGAAGATTTTCTCAATTGAAGGCCATGGGTTTGTGAGTCTAAGTGGAGAGCATGGTCATGTATGGAGCTCTTGGGAAAAGCCATAGTTTGTGAGTCTAAGTGAAGATTTTCTCAATTGAAGGCTTGGGATAAGCTTGGATGGCTCCTCTGTGAGTTTGCAAAGGCATGTGAATCTTTTTTGGAACAATGTGCCATTTTCCTTTCTGGAAGGGTTGACCGTGGGGGCTCCAATGTGGAAAAGGGAGAAATTCCAAGGCTTGAAGACATTAGAGGGAATTGGAGGTGTGGTCATTGAGCTTAGCTATGGTCTGGCTTGACCAAAACATGAGAGGATTTGAATATGCAAGACTTGGTTGCCATGTGTTGAAGAAAGGAGCAGGTGTGATCTCCTTTGTCTCATTTCCCATATTTTATATTTAATTTTGTTTTTTTAGATTTTTTTAGGGTATAGGTCATCCCATATTATGATGGGTTAGCTTAGGTTATGGATGGCTCATTTAGGAGTGGGCCATGGGCTTGGTTCATGATCTTGGATCATGGGTTAAATCTTTAAGGTTTAATTCTAAGCTAAAGGCTAATGGGCCCTAAAACCATCCAATTAATTAATTAATTAAGAAAATAATAAAGTTGACCATATGATCATGGGTTGACCATATGGTTCAAGGTTGATCATATGGTACAAGGTTGACCATATGGTCCATGGTTAACCATAAGGTCCATGGGTTGACCACTTGGTCATGGATTCGAGGGAGGAGGTGAAATGGTCAATTTGGTCAAAATTTGGCTAAATTGGAGTTAGGCTTAATTAGTATTGACCATCTCAGTGTATCGTCAATAGTTGGGTTCAAGAGGGATCATTAGGTTTTTGGCCTGATTTTTAGGGTTTGGTGGACTTAGGGAAGTCCCTACTGAGGCTAAGGATGAATTTGTGCAGACCCCTCTCTCGTGGTGTTTTGGTGATCAAAGTGGTTCCTGTCTACCGGTAAGTTCTTAGAGTTTCAGATTGATTTAGGGGATCCAGGGAAAATAGACAATTCCCTAAGCTTTTATGTTTACTTAAGGGATCTAGGACGTGTTTAGCCTTTGATAGTCAATTTGGGTTCACTTAAGGCATGTTTAACTTCTAGTGGTTAATTGTTCTCACCTAAAAATCATGCTTCACTCAGCCCTTGAGACAAGGCAAAAATTAATACGACAAATTCTAAATCCCACACTCCAACATCTCTTTTGGAATCAAGTTATACACAAGTAGAAGCTCTTGTGTTGCCCTTATCTGAATAGTCACAATACTTTCAAACTCTTTTGTTGCTTTTGGGCAATGAAGAACTATGCTACAAACAACCTCTTGAACTCAACAAAAGAGGTGATTACTTCGACGGATAATCCATTAAACTATCTTTAGCCTGACTCCCTCGCGTGGTGAAGAAGATGTGACACATCAGATCATCTGTGATCCTTAATTAGAAAATGGTAAAATCCAAGGAGGCAATGCAGTCAGTTGGATCAGTTTAACCTTTATGGTTGTTGAGTGACATTACTTTAAACTTCTCGGGTGCTTCACTGGATGAGATATATCGAGAGAACCCATTCTTAGGTTGGTGGGGTTAGGGGTGTGGAGGGGAGTGCGGAGACCTCTGTATTCCTGAACCACTGTCTATCCAACAATGCAAACTAGAAAGATTTTAGTCTTGAGGATCTTCTACTCTTTCCTCAAGCAATTGTGCCCTTCGATCGCTGAGTGTTGTTTCCTTCTAAGATTTGTTTCCCTTCTCCCTGCTACCTCTTCTTTAATGAATTCTAACATTTGGCCCAACATGTCTACCTAGTGAGTTTTTTCTCCTTGTTGTGCTCTTCTTTTTCTTAAGGCATGAGCCACGCTTATCGAACCTTCCAAGATATTGAATCTGAATCTATCTAGTGAATCAAACCCAAGGAATATAGCATAAAATAAGAGAGAGAGAGAGAGAGAGAGCATTAAAAAGCGATGGCTCTTTAAAGAAAAAGTGATTAACCTTTACTTTAGAAATGACTGACTTATTTATAGGCAAAGGGGATATAAAGTTAAAAATTACATGCTCGCCCCTGCTTTTCTTTGTGTGTTATGTTTCGGTTACTAAAAATGAATGAGGCTATGCCTTGATTACCTTATCACTCGACATGTTAAGATTTGTAATTCTTTGGTCTCCGAAGTATGTTCAGACGATTCTATTGAGTCGGGGTAATTTGTTGTTTTGATGGTCATTTGGTCATCTGGACTTCATTTGGTCTACTTGAGTCCATCAGTTAGCTATTTCGGTATGGATATCGACTACTAACCCCTAAATTAGAAATTTATGTTACTGGAATGAAACTAGGTTGTCGAGCAGAGAATGAATCATCGTAATCCGACAGGTCGTTTATCCTTTTGATAGGAAAACAATCAGGAGTGTTCAAGAGGTGTTTATTGATGAGAACCTTTGGTCTCCTGAAGAGTATTGTAGACTCCTGTGGGGAGACTCATGATATTTGGATGAGAGTAGGACTGGTTCCTTCTCTCTATTCGGTAAATCTCAACTTTTGACTTGGGAGACCTCTATTCCTAGGAAGTTATAACTAGTAAATCAAATCCGTTGATCTACTAGTAACGTGGTTCTTGGTTTTTTTGATGAGTCATTCTGGATCATATCTTTGTCTTTTAGTCTATTGAATTTTTTCAATATTCATGCTGACGTATTTCTGACATACTACATACATACTATTATATAGTAATCTGACCTCATAAAACAAGTAAATAAGACCAGAATGTTTTTAAAATCCAATTGTAAGCATGACCAAGTGTAACCCGGAAGACGTTCGATTAGGAAGTTATTTATATTTTACCGCCTAAGGTCATTCGCTGTACGACCTCCGTCTCAGCTTCACCGATAGCTTGCGCACGACACTTTCTTTGACCCAAGTACGACTCCGTCGTCTCCAATATGTTGGAAATATCTCTCACCTGCTTCCACCCATCTTCCTCGCTTCGTGATCCGACGACGTGGTCGAGGTTTAGTTTCGTGGCCTATTCAAACTAAAAGAAAAAGACGGCCAATTTCGGTCTCCTCAGCAGGTTTCAACAACTTGATCGGAAGAGAGCTAAGCGAGGAGAACATCACACTTCGACAAATTGCGGCAACGACGAAGAGTCAAATGAGAGTCCTAAAGATGATGGTGGGACGCTTTCGTGCAAGCGTTTACACTTGCCATCTCCATAGCCCGTGTATAAAGATCGCATTCAATTCATTTCTTATGTTCATCATCATGCCAATCCAATAACAGCCCGGCAAGCCCTAAGTTCCTCTCCGAAATCGCGAAAGGACTTTTCAAAAGTAGTTCTTTATCCCGGCAACGGTGCATAGGGCTTGCGTTTCTGGCTGATCCACTTCTTTTTACAGGCTAGGGTGCTTATCTTTTCGTGTAGTACTTGAAAAGCTTTATATTTGAACAAATCTTTGGATTTGATTGCCTTTCTGGATCTCTTTTATTGCTTGAGGGCGAGGCCAAATCTTTCACGGGAAATTTGTAGATTAAGTTTGGATTTGTTGATACACTGTTCTATAAGGGGATTTTGATTATTGAAGTGGGTCTAAGCCTGGAACCGTATCTTGTGATCCTGGATTGTAATTTGTTTTCTTTTATTGAAGTTTGGGGTTAGTGATAGTTGATCTAAGTTCATTCTGATGGAGGAGAGGCCAACTTTGAAGACTAGAGCTAATGAGAACGTGGCTGATTTGTTCCCTCGAACCATGAGGAAGGATCTGCCATATGGTTTCATGAAGCTGGCCTGCGGATTAGTTCTGTTTATGGCTGGAACAGTTCTTGGCATGGCGATGAGAGCCCAATTCAATTGGTACTTCACTTCCCACACGGAGCTCTTTTTTCCAGAGACTATGTACTCTGCGGATTGTGAACAAGAAACTATGGCCCTAAAATATTTTGTTAAGCCGAGCCATTTGATGCATAAGATGACAGATGATGAACTTTTTTGGAGGGCGACAATGCTGCCCAAGGTTCAAGAGTATCCATTCAAGAGGGTTCCAAAGGTAGCTTTCATGTTCCTGACAAGGGGACCTTTACCGTTCTATTCATTATGGGATGCGTTCTTCAAAGGGCATGACGGGTTGTTCTCAGTTTATGTGCATGCACTTCCGGATTACAAGCTCAATGTCTCCAAGCATTCTGCATTCTACGAACGGCAAATCCCTAGCGAGGTACTCTATTTTTAGCTTGACGGAGTTTGTTTTTTTAGGCCATGGAAATGAATTCCTTGCCTTATATCATGAAACCGAATTTTCTTTTGATGTGCACATTGTTTCTATTGAAATTGGAGCCATCAACACAAAATTCAAATCTTTAGCTATGGTGAGCCTCGTGCATGGTGCATGGAACTTTGGTTATCTGGACCATGGCGATTTTGCGCTGATTATAGCATGATTAAATTTAAATGAATTCCGAGTTTTTTTCATATCACGTTGAGACTAGTATTATTTGTCTGCATTGAGTAAACTCGCGAGCGGAGATTTATAGGTTCACATGTTTTGCTATTTTTATCATAGAAGGTAATCTTTATTTAGCTTCTATTGGGTAGGATCCAAGCCAATATTCTTGCCATTGCACCCCAAATTCAGTCACCTTCAATTGCGAAAATTCAATTATCTTTAGTTTTGAGGACACATTACGCTAGTTAGACAAGATCACTATTATCAAAGTAATCTGTCATGGCCTTGTTATCCGTTACGCTTTTCTTGATGGATGATAGTGAGAAAGCATCTTTTGATCATTTCAACAATTTTTTTTTCCTCCATTGCTTTTTTTTTACTACAAAATCTATTTTTAATAACCGCTACTCATAATTTGTTGTATGTAACTGCAGGAGGTACAGTGGGGGTCAGTGACTTTATTAGATGCAGAAAAGCGTCTACTTGCAAATGCCCTGCTAGATTTTTCAAACGAGCGTTTCGTGCTACTTTCTGAGAGCTGCATTCCAATTTTTAACTTTCCCACAGTTTACGAGTACCTGATCAACTCTGCCCACAGCTTTGTTCAATCTTATGATGATGAGTCACCTCGTGGTCGTGGCCGCTATAACAAGCGAATGCATCCTGCGATTAAACTCAGCCAATGGAGGAAAGGATCAGAGTGGTTCGAGCTCAACCGTGAGCTTGCCATTAATATTGTCGCAGATTACAAGTATTATAGGATCTTTTTAAAGCATTGCAGGCCTACGTGCTACCCTGATGAGCACTATATTCCAACATACTTGAACATGTTTCATGGGGCTTTCAATGCTAATCGGACTGTAACTTGGGTAGATTGGTCAAGGGGTGGTCCACATCCAGCAACATATGGACGGGAGAGCATCAACGAGAGTTTTATCCAATCCATCAGGAACAATGGAGTCAGCTGCACGTACAATAATGAACCCACTTCTATATGTTATCTCTTTGCCAGGAAGTTTGCTCCCAGCGCTTTGGAACCATTGCTAAACCTCACCTCATCTGTCATGAATTTTTGATTTCTTTTTTCTAGTAGCATCGTTCTCGTTGCTCTTTGTTGGACTTTGCAACCAGGAAACATTCAAATCTGTAGGTGCTTCGATTTTTGATTTGAAGGCCTTGTGGTAACAACATATGGCATATGATATTGAAATTTACATAGATATTGAAACATTGTTCATGACTCGGAGAAACATACAACTTGAGACAAGGTCACATTACATTCCTATCTCTGAGTTTTAGTTTATCTTTGCAACTTTATTTTGGTAATTGTTGTTGCCATTGGACTCTTACAGTCCTTTTCCTCGTACGGTTTAGTGTGAATATAAGCTGATCATTCGTTCATTCATCATTTTATCCGTGAAGCCAATTTGATGGTGATTCATTTGGTAAGTTGATGTTTTTTATTTCATTTTCTTAACTGCAATTTTCTTAATCATCTTGCTGCCTCTACCAAGGTGATCAATGTTTCACCAAATGCGTGCATGGTTTTTGTTGAATGTTGATTCATTTATGCATTCCAATAGAATTCTATATACTATAGAGAAAAAGAGCGGGGAATATAGAGGAGTGTAAAAAGAGAGTAAAGGAGAATCCACCATGAAGCTCCATCTTACAGTGATTCCAATCTAGGTTAGATTATTTATTCATTTCTTTTCTGGTGACCCCCCATTTATGTGCTGTCGAGATTTGAGCGTTCTAAAAGAGTGTATGATGCCTCATATAAAAATAATAAATAAAGTCAGATCGATTGCTTAGTTGGGAAGAAGGTGCTAGCTCCTTTCTAGGAAGTAGCTGGGTAGGTTTGGGCCTGGGTAACTATGGTCGAGCTGGTTGGTTTTGCAAGTTATTGGTTTTAAAAGCTTTGTTTCCCAGTATCTCTCGAACTCACTTGGTTGATCCTAGTATGTAGGCCTATTTCTAACTTTGCTAGCAAGTTCTTAAGTGTAGTGAGCGAGTCTGCCTTAAGCTTGGCTGGTAAGTCTACTCTTAAGAGTGCTTAGGATGTTCATTTAGTTTAGGGTTTAGCTTATATCTGTGAAAGATGAGCGCAGAAAGAACAATAAAAAAATAGCCAAAATAATATTTTCATTCTTTTTTTCTTCATGTCGAGTTTATTGTCCCTTTTCACAAAAAAATGAGTGAATGTAATAATTTTTATTTTATGTGCATCGAAAAAGTTAATGATGTTATTTAAATCTTGTCCGCATTAAAAGGAATATTATTTGATGTTTTTAATGTTCTGCCCGTGTTAGTATGACATCCCCCCTGCATGATCTCCCGTTCCACATGCGTTACAATATTGAAATTTTTCTTCCTTTCAAAACTTCATGTTCTAGAACTTGTGATTATGGAGGTTCTGGTGGATCAAATTAATATTTATAAGAAAGCTATGATGACGAATATTTAGGAATATTGATGTTAAATCCAAAAGTATCCGGGAAACACACCCTAGTAATAGAACGCTATGCTAGGAAGTGATTAGAGAGAGAGAGAGAACACACTATGGAACAATAAAAGAGAGTGCCGTCTTTATTCATGATATTGACTCCTTATTTATAGGATTAAGCCTCAGTATTACTAAATTACATATTGGTCCCCTCATCATTGACTTATCGGAGGAACTTTTTGGTAATATAATAAGACTAGAGGACCAATTCAATTGATAATAATTTGTTGACTGTCATATGACTCGTGACTTGATCGATATCTAATCTGAAAGAGAGTCTCTTATCAATCATTCTGAGGATTGATCACTGTCTTATGGAAAATCTCCTAGCATGTTTCGCTGATTACTCAAACAAGACACCTCCATTGCCAACTTCTAGCTCAAGACGTCGTCAACGACTATGCCCGATCGTCGGTATCATCCTCATGAGGCGTTCATCTTTCTTGAGATTTGTGTTGACATAATTAAATAAATACATATTTAGTTCCTTGACTCCCTTACTCCTCGGAAGTTGCACACTACTAAAGGATAGGAGAATCTTTTTAACATGTATGAAATAATTAAATGAAATTATTATGCAACGAAGGACTTTGTGGATTTCCGTGCTTGGATTATAAATAGACCTGCGAGTAAGGAGGGTTTGTGTCAATTTCTTTTTCTTATTACTTCTTTAGTCTTCTATCTTTTCGTTTTTGTAGCTAACGTGATGTTTGGTGAGGGAGCGCCATCATCTGATAAGAGCACCCTCAAATTACTAAGTGATATGCAAGTGAAGACTTGCAAACCCGATGCAAAGCAGAAACCAATAGTCAAGGCTTCCGTTGGAGAGTTGAGTAAGAGAAGAATTGTGCAGGGGTCGGGAGTAAGGGGACAGAAAAATCAAACTGGTTCTTCGGGGTTTTCATTAGGTCCATCACAGGGTGAGCTGCGTAGGAGTTTGGAAGGCATAGTGGCGATCATCTTTTTGGATACTCATTGGAGGCGATCACTCCTGCACAAAGGGGAGGAATGTCCGTTCAGACTACCGTGGGGACTATGACTCTCCAAGGGGTCGGGAAGGCACCAGTTGAAGCTAGGACAACCTCGGTTGGAAATGGGTAGCTTTTCCTCTGTGGGTGAAAAACTAGAGGAGACCAGTGAGGACTTCATTTCTTACACTACTTCTAAATGGTGTCAAGTTTTGGGTATGTAGTTTGAATCATGCTTTTAGTATTTCTTTTGCAAGTGCAAGAGCTCTTACGATCGCTTCTAATTCTTTAGACACTGATGCTGAGCTTGAGGGTGATGTGATCTCTATGGATTAAGCTAGGGAGAGGGGAGTGAATATTGAGGAGTAGGTTGCTTTGGAACAAAGGACTATGGAGCAGGGCACCGTGGAGTTAGATGTTGTGGCCCAGAGGGTAGGGGAGAATCCTCCTTCGGGAGGAGGCAAGAGCGTTGGTGGCCACATTCCTTCCGGCGCAGCAACAGAGGAGGCAACACCTAGAGGGCATAGATTTTATGTCGACTTTCTACTTCACTACCTTGCTGAAATGGAGGAGCATATTTTTCGTCTCATAGTACAACCTCGGAGGGATAACAATGATGGAGTTGCTGAGATATTAGAGCGAGTTGATCTGATAGAAAATAAATTCGTTGCACTTCGTCAAGAACCTGCTGGTTGTGGGGAGATGGCTCGACTGTGTCAGTAGCTGTCGGTCGTTAGAAAGGGTTTTACAACCTAGCTGAGGGATAGTCAGAATGATCTCTTTATGCTGGGTGGTGAGTGTTGACCTCACTTTTAGTTGAGGTTTAGTTTTCCCTCTTTAGTAGCCTAGGGTCTAGTCATAAGATTTTCCTGTTGACTATTGTTTTCCTTATGACTATTCCTAGGAAACTAGAAAAGGAACCCACACCCTTAGAAACTCCAAACTTTTCCTTGAAGTTTCACATATTGCTGCTAACCTCTAGCACTTGGTAGGTGGGGTCAGTATGGGGGATCTCAAGTCCCCATAGGACTACTTGACCTTAGGGCTGACCCTGTTGGTCTGTAACTAATTTACTCATTGGCACTCACTATCACCAATATCCACTAGCAACCCTAAACCCAAAATTGTTGACTTTGATCTTTTGATCTTTTGATCTTTTGGGATAGATGGTCCCCTAGAGGGAGACTCATGTAGATGGTCCCCTAGACCCACTAGCCCTAGGCAAGGGTTTAGCTAAGACCAGTACAAACCCAACCCAAATGGGGATTTCATTGGTCCACAACTCATATGTGGTGGTTGACACCTCAATTCTACCAACATATCCAACTTGACATTTTGCCCCTAAATCCACCCAAATTACCGAAATGCCCTTTAAACCTTAAACTTGGCCAAAATTCTCAAATTCATCCAAAATACCAAAACTTAATAAAAAATCATCTTAAACCATTCGAAACTACCCAAATTACCAAAATCATCCCAAAAAAATTTCAAATTACCAAAATACCCTCAAATTTGCCAAAATTTCAAAAATACCCTTGGTAGCTCAAACTTTTCCAAAATATCCAAAATCACTTCAAATGTCTCCAAAACCAATTTGAACTCTTCAATTGGACTCAATTTGGCTAATTTGACCATTTTGACCAAAATCCCCAAATTGTCTTTAAAGGCCCAATTTCTACAAATTCACCTCACATACCATCAATTTGGCTCCAAAACTCCCCAATTGTAATTCTAAACTCAAATTCATCTTTCATATGGTCAATCTAAACCAAGTCTAAGCCTAATTGATTCAGGATTTTAGCTCAATTTTGATCCAAATTAAACCCCAATTTTGACCATATGACTTAAGCCCACCAAATTGAACCCCACAACCTACTCAATTTGCCCCAAATTAAATCCTAAACTCTTCATAATAATACTACACATCAAATTGGACCTTTAATTGGCCTTGGCGAAGCCTCAATCACATTCAGTTTTAACCCACTCAATTTTAACCCAGGTCCAAAATCCTCAAATTTGCCCCAAATTGGCTATGTCTTAAAATTCCACCAAACTTATAGACCATTTTCAACCATCAACTTGGGCTTAGCCCAACCTTACCCTAATTTAAACCCAAATCTAACCCAACACCGCCAAATTGACCAAATGCCCAAAATCCTCCTAATTGAACCTCCAAACCAATTCAAAATCACTCCAAATCTTTTCTAAACTCCTCATGACAATCATCTACACAATATTGATCAATCAATTGAGCTTAATGTCATGGCTAGCCTAACCCAAACCAAACTTCTAGCCATTTTGACCTAAATTGAACCCCTTCACTAAAATTGACTTAGCCATGCTAAAGTCACCAAATTGATGTTACCACAACCACATAACACACTCTATGGACCAAGCTAAATCCACTTAAATCACCCAAGTGAGCTATGGACCAAGGGTTCCCTAATTTAAGAGATCTTATCCCATTTTTGGGCCTTAACCAAGAAATCTCTTCCATCATCACTTGCCATTGAGGGTTAACCATAATTAAACCTCTCACTGGCTCACCTGACCGCCTGACCACCTCCCTTGCCCTGGCCAGCCGGCCTAGTGGCCGTAAAACTCCAAAACCTAGGGCCACCACCCTTAAATCAAACCCAATTTCAACCCCAGAGGCCAGCTCATCCTAATGGCATTTTAGAGCTCCTCAGTCCTCCACCTAAGCAACTCTTTGCACCCATTAATTGGCCCTGGTGGCCAACCCAAGCTCTTCTATTTTATCAGCCCATCTATGGCCAAAGAAAGAAGAGTTCCAAATCCTTAGGGAAACTATGCCAAAATCTCAACAGAGACTCCCCAAGAATCCCTAAGTTCAATCCAACCATCTTCCCCCTTTGATTCCCACTGTGAAAGCCCAATTTTGAGCTCA